GAACAAAGTAAGTAGATCAATCCCCATTAGGTCGAAGCTACCTAAACTTATGTCCAGTAGTATTTCTATTACGAAGTGAACCTGGAACAGTGGAAGTGGACATTCTTAATGGACACCACTGGTTGTCATCAAATCACATGACAACTCTTCATGTGCCCTCACATAGCTACATGAGTTCAAGTAGAGAGCTTCGAAGAGCATTACAATATTTGCTCTGTACTCCACAGTCAGACGCTGACACTACACCTCACAATCGACTGTCTAACGCCGCCTCCTGGTCAAGAATTATGATATGTCGTTTGTTGGTAAGTATGTCTGTATCTCATAACCTGGCGAGATATGAAGATTTATTAGATACACCCACGTCTAGGCCTAAAAAATGCCTGCTTCTCTCGAATATCTTGTCCTTCAGTCCCAGTTAGGCGTCGGATTACTACGAACGCTAGAATCTTGGAGACGATTTTAGTTACACTGATTCCTATGTGATTATTATGAGAAGACTTCCGTTCCTTCTCATAGACTGAAATGATCAGTGAAGTAGAGTAGTCTGATAAGACTACCTCTCATTTCCATACGTCACGCAATACTTCCGTTACCCTACTCAGTAATTTCCCTTTTTACTTACTGATGTCTGGCGGCATATCGACAAGTTCTGATGCTTTGTATCATTTAAGGTTTGAAACAGTCTTCTCAAATATCAGGAAATTTGGAGGACCGATATCTAGGTCCTATTCAAGTTCAGACTGCATGCTGGGTAACTAAATTGTTGTTGTAGGTCAGCTTAACTGTGTTCCTTAGTGTTCCGTTCAACGTTCTCCCAACCTGTCGTGAGAGTTTATTAGCATCTAATACTTTTCTGCGATAGTCTCACTCACTATCATCCTCTTCGTGGAAAAACCTTTAGTATATCTAACCATCTGTTGGGCGTTACTGCTGATGCCTTCTCCATATTTTTCGCCTTCGCCACACACCACCAATCGCAACCACTGCAAAGACCCTTAGTAAACTTCACTCCTCTTTGTGGTTAGAGCCTGCCAGAAACAGTCTTTTCACACCAACCAGTTCGGACAACGTTGCGGAAATCTACTGGATTTTACTAACCTTCAGATCTAGGTTACTAAATGTCTTTACCGCTGTTTCTACAGCAGGATGACGATACCATACCAGTGCTTAACTATCTCAAAATACGTACTTGACTCCCTCATCTTCCAGTCTATCCGACACGGGATTAACTGCCGGCTGCTTCCTACGACCAGTGATCGCAAGCATGCATGTGCCAGTAATAACGCATGGTCGGAGTCCAAATAGGTACCCTAGACACAGTAGCAGTCCTTCACTGATCCTCTCCAACAATAGCTTACAGCAAGTTTATCATTAGTTTGAAGTCGGCGGACACCATGTCATAAAATGCTTTTCCTTATGCTTGGAACGAGTGCTGGCCAGAAAAAAGTGATTTTCAGAGCAAACTGTAACAGATGATCAACATTATCGGTCAACTGGGATGGGATTCTGTAGACATCTCCAAAATGCCCTCCCGACTAGCTTCGCTTGCCAATCTGCGAGTTGAAGTCGCCTGATATTATGACTACATCTGAGCATCATGCTTCATGTAGCAAAATTCATAGCCTTTGATAGATTTCATCCTACGCATTATCCAGAATGTAGTAGGTAGGTACATAGCCATAGATTATGAATAGGGGTCTGCAAGTCCTGCTTTTTGCCTTACCACTATCCAATAGTATGGCAAGACCTCAAGGAACAAGCGTTACATTTAGTGTGGCTCGTAGGATCAGTGATGCGCAAGCCCAACCACCATGTCAAGGTAGCAGCTATCGACTGCATGGTGGGGCTTTGATTCTGAAAACACCAAGTTGACTCAGCTTGAGTCAGACTGACACCGGCTCTCGCTAAAAGGTTTTGTCTCTTGTTCCATTCTAACTGGAACGATCGTTTAGTATTTGGATGACTTCGTTCTGGCTAGCATGGGTGGTTTTGAACAATTCGTGTTGTTTTGTAGTATATCCTGTATTTCATGATGTGAGAAAAAATTTGTGATCTTAGATGGATAATTCCTAACGGAAACTGTCGATAGCGTAGTTAGGTAGCTAAAAAACCGCTCAGTGGTAGCACATATTAAAGTAAATCACAAAACTTGTAAGTAATTTCCGAGTTAATTAGCCAGTTTCATATAGATGAAGTAACACATATTAGTCTCCCCATACAATAAGTCCACTAATATGGTGGTCAGTGAGTTTCAATTACAGTGAAATAAACAACACTGACTTCTGTATCAACAATACAATGTAACTCAGCAAGCATGTGCAGTTTCATGCAATAAAACACAGTTGGTATAACGTTAACTATCACTAATCATCATTCGAAACCTGCGTTCTGGAACCTATTGGAAAATGAACACATGGTAAAACTGTGGTTCATCATTCTAGGTACCTGATTTTCAACCAGTCCGTCCCGGGTTGGAATCTCCCTCTACTTACTAAGGTCCAAATAGCTAGGTGATACCGTTAGCTATCGCACAATACGTGGTTTATTGCCTAATAAAAGACGATAAATGCGGTTGCTACGTTGCTTCTTTTAAGACACTAAATGTACTTAAGCTAACGGCAAGGGTTAGAGCTTTCGGACTAGAATTTAAAGTTAACAGTCCTTATTTATATGTATTGAAGAATACACAAGTTTGATAGCCAATAACATGCTTGTTTACTAACAATATCTCGTAGACTCCATAACGGTTACAAGTAAAAGACTATGAAGAGATTTGTAAATGGACTTAGAAACCCAGTGACAGTTGAAGACTTTTGTTGATCATCAAGATATAGAAAATTGAATCACTGATACAGCTGTCAGTTCTTAGTACTTACAACTCAATCAATGCCAGTTATGTTTTATGGTCGATGGATTAGTGGAATTGGTAACTACGAGATTAGAAATTTATTGCTGGTAATCCAGCTTATTATTGATTGACTTAAAGCATATGCTTGACAAAACGTGGACACTGAAAATCGTGCTATACAAAGACAAAGTGCAAAACAGACCAGAAACAAAACCATAAATGGATTAATAAAAAAACAGTAACAAAGGTAAATTCGTAGAGGTATTTCCTTTTCAGTAACAAAAAACCGAAAACTTGTAATAATATTGCCACTGGTCTGGATTATCAGCTATTTCTGCAATAGTCGGAGGCCACTGAGTGGCATATCTCAGACTATATCCGAAACGTTGTGTAGCAACAACACATGCCAACCAACCACAACTTTCTTCTCACAGCAGCAGGTGTTATACACTGATTACCTATACGATCCTCCCACAGTCACAGAGCTAGTCAGCAGAGAACCATGAAGAACATCCAACACCTTTTGCAAGCCGCTGAAAACAGTGCCTAAGACAAAAATATTGGTATTTTACTCAATGAAAACAGTCTGCATAAAAATCAGTTCATGATTCAGTCCACGAGATCATATATGGTTTGATATGCGTAACCAATGAGACAGGCTTTAAAAGGAAATAAACACAACAAATCCACAATTCAATGCGACTCCATTTGTATGTCTTCCAACTTAAAGACTAAATTATTTTTCCAGCATAACTCTCTGAATGATCACTATTCAGTCATCATGCTTTCAAAGGTTAGCTCTTTAAACATCATTCTTAAATACAAGTGTACATACCGGACAAATGCATATATATATATATATATATATATATATATATATATATATATATATATATATATATATATATGCATGATGTACTATCTCGTTATATGCTCTAGCAATGTCAAGAAACATGAAGTAACTAATGGTATACTTAGGTCAATAAGAATAGCATGAATTTACATTCTGCATTAGTTGGGATTCTGTGCAAAGTATGACTTACTACAACGTATATGCTACTTTGGTGTAACAGACTACTCGCCTCAAACTTCCATAGAACTATATTGTGATCTAACCATAATACAAAACCAAACATAAGTCGGACTATTGAGGACTATTAACAGAACTTTTCATGCAGCTAATCTCTGTTTATTTTCTAGTCGATGATTTATTTCGTCCCAAACAAAGGCCAAGTTACCGAGTTTCACCACCTCCAAATGTATTCATAAACTTAATTGCTCCTGCTGAAACAAGTATATCGAGCATACGAAGGGGCAACTTAACCGACGTATTATTGAACACCTGTCTTCTTGGATGTCAAAGGGAAGCGTTAAATCTATAAGCTCTATTTTGTCGTATCTAGTTGATAGTGGTCACAGAGTGAATAAAACGAAGGGTTTGAAATGATTAATCTCATTTCCAATGAAGTTTTAAATTGTCTTTTACATATAGCTGGAGCTACAGGGATTGGAATGAAAAATCTGAAGCTGTGTATTCAAAAGAAAGTGGAATAACCCTTATCCCTTGGCTAGGGAAGACTTAGTGAATGTCCTTACTTATAAATTTTTAGAACGTTCGTCTTCCCTTTATATTTGGTTATTGTCATCCATTTTATATCACTACTACATTTGTATTCGAATTTTAATTACCTACTATTTTCATCCGCCGGTAATACACAGGTGTATTGTCATTTTCCAAGCTCTGACCTATTTTGTCTGTCTTAACACCTATTGTTTTGTCATTATTGACATTCGCATTATCTCTCATACTACTACTAATTTCACTATCCTAAAGTACGCAATCTATATCTTTTTATTCGTTGACTCACATGAGATTCAAATTAACTTAGTTGGTTCACAATTTAAGCGTATGCTGAAGGTCATGTATATTAGTGAGACCTGATGAGACCTAATTGAAAACAATATTGTTCTTCCACATGTCTTGTTATAATTTGTGTTGAAACTCCTGCATAAAAAGTTAATGAAACATAGATGTAATCCAGTAGTGTGATAAGAACAGTATGCGGAGATTAAATCCTGTTGAGATTTCGGAAACAAAATAAATAACTGATAAAGATCATAAAAGTCCATTAAACAGCAAAGTCCTTACCGACAAATGTCACGGCAACATTCTAGCCCAGCATCTAGATGAAAACTTCCAAATAGGCGGTAGGTGTGACCTTTACCCAAATATTAGATTGTTCGTATAATTCATGCATTCAAATCAAAATATTTTCATTGGTTCTTAGAGGATTGGAAGGAATTTTTCTCTGACTTGCAAAGTAATCGGACTGAAGATACAGTTTATTAGGCGAGAAAAAAATAGTTCTGGGTTCAACACCAGTAATCAAACTATAGTAAAATGTGAGTTCCTAAATTATTGTATCTGATTCTTCAGGGTTGGTCATTTTCCTTCAGCCTTACTCCTTCAATAGCCTTAAAAATATTTTCAGTTTACTTATGCGAATAGCTCTGGGGAGTAGTTGTTGCCTGTTTGAATTTTTCATTTTGGAAACTATGGGGAAACCACGGAGCTGCTGATAACGTCAACTAACGTTTTGTGATTCTTCTCCTTCAGGATACTCGAAAGTTAGTTTAAAACTGCATATACGGTAACATTAGGGAAGATTACATGTGATTAGTCGTAAGCAGAGACGGAGAAAGAAGAAACATGACCAATGGAGAACAATAATAACACCAGAATTAATGATAGGTCATGTGGACATCAGAATAGAGGATAGGCGTATGTTAAATTTTTAGAAGTGTATATTGTAAGTATGCTATGTGTGCTCACCACTTTGTTCAGGATGCACTGTAACGAGTCAAACTGAGAGTCGCTGTCTACTTCTCTTAACGCAGCATGTTTGGTTTCACCTACCCTGTGACGAGGGAAGCCAAATCCAACTCTCGTTTCAGCCCTCTGGTGGACCTTTCTAAAAGGACGTTGAACCATTGTGCTCTGTGTGGTATTTCAAATAAACCACAAATTTACAAGCTGTTTTCAGGCTGCCTCCTTTCCAACGATCGCCCAGAGTGAGCAGGCATAGTCAATATGAATGGTTCGTCCCTATTACCACGAGCCCTTGTGCCTACCGTTCCATCATCATCATCATAACAATTATAATAATACATATTTCATACAACATAGGTTACATGAATACAAACCGGTTTACAGGTTTGATCACTTTGGTAATGAGAAATGACTATTATGTACGATGTTAAGCTATACACTAGATATCGTTATTCCTGGCATATAAGAGGTGTGTTGAAGAAGGCTCAGTTCGAAATTAGGAATTATTAGGTGTTTGTTTGAATCTTCCAATATTCTTGAAGGTGGGGCCTCGCCACAGTCATGACCTTGGAGTGTGCGCGTTCGTCATAGGGCTTGTGATGGCAAGGTACACACTGACAAATGCAATCTCTAGGATGCCTTTTGAATGCAGGGCTGGTTAGGTAAACCTGAAAAGTGAATAACAAAGGCGAGCGGTGGGCAGAATTCGAAACAGGAGCACAAAAATATGCAGGAATATATCAACTATGATAAATCTGGGTGAGTTCTTTGTACCGACTACAAAACTTACTTGAAGAAGCATCCAGAACCAACTGTTTAGAGGTAAACTTAGGTGGAAAAAGATGAAAGTACGCCCGATGTTAATGAAATTTAGTCTGATGCCGAAGATATCACTACGAGATAGAGGAATTAGAGGATTTCGGACCAGGTATTCACTTGTTATATGCCTATGTACAAACGTTTGATGAAGTTGTAAACATCTAAGTGAGATTCATGGTTTTTTTCAAGATTGTAACCACCCTTTATCTGGTCACGGAAAGGGGGGGTGATCATGGTGTTGCCTGCTGAGCATTACCATATCGGGGCTACTGAAACATTGTGGTGGTGCAGAGTACTTACATGTAAGTACTGATAACAAAGGGCAAATAAAGAAACATGTTACATACTATAAAAATGCACCGACAGATAGTTCTTTTATCAATCCGGAGTGGAGAGATTATTTTAAGGGACGAGTTTTAGGAAATAGGTGTTAAGTCATGAGATCAGTTAGGTTATGAAGAAATGTAGGTTACATTAGAGTAGCTACTGAGTTCAGCGTTATAAAAAACCTACATCGAAGTTTCGAGAGATACTTATTTATTGGGATGATGTACTCGCTATTACGCAGATTATATGCCTGTGTTGATTCAGAGTGATAGCACATTTCATTTTAGGGTTTCCAAATAGAGGGTGAGAAAGAAAGGTTAGGTTGAGCTTCAGGCGTCTTAGCCACAGTGATTCTAGTTCTAGCATTTCGCATCTTGCTTCGTATGCAAGTCCTTCGTTAAGTATTATTAGGTGCCGAGTAAAGTTTCGTTGAATGTTCTCTACTCGAATTCTGTCCGACACTTTCATGTTACCATAGACAACCGCGCACTACTCTAATATTGGGCGAACCATAACCGTGTACAGTATAAGTTTTGGGTCAGGTGTGAGTATGTTTCTGCGTAGGAGACCATAGGGTCTTCTGCCGTCGGAAACTATTAAATCTTCATACTCCGTGAGGGTCAAACTTCTGGAGCAAGTGATTCCGAGGTCTTTCACAGTGTTATATGTCCGCAGTGCGGTGCCACCCAAGTGCAGTGTTACTTCTGGGTGGGATTTGTTGAAATGGAGGATGCTACTTTTATTTGGGTTTGGAAGGAGCTGCCAGGTCATGCTGCATGAGAATATTCTCTTCAGATCTTCTTGTATTTGAGAGAAACCCTGTGTTAGTGCTGCAGGAGAAAAGCTGCAGACTATCTTCAAGTCGTCTGCGAAAAAGTAGGGTGTGCCATTTCGGATAACGCTGCAGATACCATTTACATATATTAGGAAAAGTATCGGTCCTAGCACACTACCCTGGACGACACCACTTTGTATAGGTCTAGGGGAGGAGTAGCAATTACTAAATTTTACTACTTCAAAGTCACCCTCTAAAGATGTTCTAAGCCAAGAAAGTAACGGGTCTCGGAAACCATATGATTGCAACTTAGTGGCCAAGAGTTTGTGAGGCACCTTATCGAATGCTTGCTTGAAGCCTAAGAAAAGGGAAGTTACAAATAGGCCTTGATCGCGCTTGCTTGTAACGTCATTCAGATAGTCAAGATAGCTGGTAGCGCATGACCAGCCTTTTAAGAATTCACGTTGTGCTGGTGATAGCAGTTGGTTCGTCTTCATGTAGTCGACAACTGCTTTCACAATCACCTTTTCTATAGTCCTGGATACTACTGACGTGATGTTTATAGGTCGGTAGTTTTCTATATTAGATGTTGGTCCACATTTATGCTTGGGACGTATGTATGATAGTTTCCAGTTCTCAGGGTAATTGTTACTGGAGATAGACGCATTAAAGAGCTTCAGGGGAATCAGCGGTATATCTTCGCCACCTCTTTTTAACAAGATGGTTGGAATTCCATCAGGTCCCGCACTGTATGAGGTTCGAAGTGGTGCTATAGCTAGAGAAATGTTTTGTTTCACCATGTGGTGAAAATGCAAATTTTCAAGGACTTTTTCTGATCCAGGGAATGTTAGTTTTGGCATGCGATCCCATTTTCATAAAGGCCAATCTAAGGGTGATTTTGCTACGTGGGGTGAAACTTGAAAATGGCCCCATTTATTTCACAGATTCAAGTTTCCTGGGTACAACAAGTACTAAGCTTCATTTCTCTCCCAGAACCCACGTGACTCACTCTAGAGTTATGCTATCACTCCAACAGCTTAAGGACCATTATTTTCACTTCGGTGAGCAGCAACTTTGTTAAACGAAGACGTTTGTTTTCTGAAACAGGTAGATGCCGTCACTGTAGGCTTTCAGCGCTTTCCACCCAGTTTCCAGACAGAAGACCAATTTAGAGCCCCCAGTTGAATGTGCGATTCCCAATAGCCTGAATCTACACATATCCGACTTTGACTGCTGAACCTGGTATAACCAAACCCTAGCTTGAAGCATAGTCATAGTGCTGATAAATGCACTGCTTAAATTATAGCAGGATATAATTCCGATCAGTTTAGTCAATCAGGCTGGCTGTGATGTGTTTTCGTAACTTTAGATTGTGGAGTGTCCTGTAACACTCAGCTTTGATCTAACCAGTCCTAGTGAGACTACTGATCGGCCACATAGTGGCCCCCCCTCTCGGAGTGCTGCTTAACAGGCTTCTTTGTAGGTGTGTTCGTGCTGTGAAACTTGCCGCTTTTATCGCTTGAAAAGACACCGTCGATCACGGTGTAGTGAGATTAATTGTAAAGTCAGATACTACCAATTAAACCAATCACACAAATACTAATGCGGGTCTCGACTGAAATCCACAATGACGTCAATCTCAAACCCGTCAGCACATTGTTTATTTGACTGGCTAAATATCACGTTGCAGCACTGTGCAAATGCGGGCTTTTCACCTTCTAGGTCAATGTCCATGAAGCATATCTGCGGTCAGATACTGCATTTAACAGCATCATTTTTGAAAGCCTCCATAGTAACACCAGCTATGCTACATTTGAGGAAGCTTCCAAATCCGCCATGAACGCAAAGGAGGCCTGATTCTGATCAGACCTCCCTCCCCTCAAGTGTATCTTCAAAGTATTATGCTAAGAAGAGTTTATCCAATCACCTGATGGGGAGTAAATCCTCTGGGTTTAAGATGGCTTATAAGTCTTCAATTGGCTAAAGTGCCTCCCAGATTAGTTCAAGATACTACCATACAACCTCAGAGGACGGCAAACTAAAGCACGCTAAATGATTATATCCATACTTATTTATTCCTGAAGACATTGAAGTAAGTTTTTCTTGGTCAGTAATGCCACGAGCATAAGAATCGCTGTTAAAATAGACGTTTATCTGACGAAACGTTGGATCTAGCAGGCGGGTTAATCATGTCAATTACTTGTAGCACAAACACTGAATATTACGCGGATTTGACACTACTTTAGTGTGAAAAAAGAGTTGTGAGTAGGAATGAACTGAACTCAAAACATGCAAAGTGATATTATCTTGCTCTTTTCATAACTTTCAGACACCTGGTATCATAAGAGAGTTTAATGTCCTTTCTCCTGTACCACTGGGCACTGCTCAAATCCTGTAGGTTTCAATACAATTGTGAATCTGATGATGTCTGCAAACCAGCTCCTCTCATGTTAAGTCCGTAACCTGGGAATAAAACATTGATTTATTTATGTATGTATTAAATGTTTAGTCCACTTTGAGGACCTGGGATGTAAGCCGCTGGTAGAATCCCATTCAAATCAAATGGTTTCAAAAGGTTGTTAGCGCCACTGAAGAAAATTCTGCTCACCTGGTCTTCATGCTTTTAGGTGATGGGCTACAAATTCCTCAAGCTGGCAAATTCTGGAGGAATAGATTTCGGAGGAATAGGGAGAGAGGAAGAGCGGGTTGGTTGTTTTGGGTTTCTAACAATATCACAAAAGGCGTGAAGTTCGGAAGAACTAGCTTCAGACTGCTATCGGGGGAGGATAATCCGAAAAGTTAGCCACGTTTAGAGGGTACATGCTGCGCCTGATGCCTAGCCTTCATTCTCAGTCTTAGTTGCTGTAAGCGTTACGTAGAGTGGATAAACCGGTGGGCACTAAGAATATTGCGGGCCAATATTAAACCTCCAGGGAGTCCGTGAATCCAGAGGATGAAGATCGGGTGCTGCCGTCTGGTCTTCGTATGTCTTGAGCCCGAGCCGTTGACCAGATTTGGTTGACTACCCCTGGATTACCCCTTGGCCTGATTTGTACTCATGGGATAGGAAAGATGGACAGGTAGTTCTAAACCGCATGTGAAACCGTGGGAATCTGTCGAAACTTTGTGAAAACTTTAACTACCGAATTGTCCAAACATTTGCCCAAGAGTTACGTCGCCGAGTTTCCACGAAGTATGCCCCTGTCACAATTGGCATAGGATTCCAAATCTCGAGGGGCCGAAACGCCCAAATCGTTCCTCATCTCTGGCGCTGCTGTTTCTATGCCTCTGCTTTTACATACATGGAGCGAATCGTGCTAATACGAAATATTATTTACGATTACTATTATCTCGCACCTTTTGGGGTTAAACGTGAGCCAACTAATGATCGTCAGGCTTGAAGTCGCGATAGGTCTTCCTTTATGTAGTTGCTTTCTTTCACGGTTTCGTATCGTCACCGGAAAGAAAGACTTCCGAAGCCACCTGCCTAGATGAGTTGTCTAAATGTGAGAGAAGAAGCAACGGTGGTGAACCTCTGGGACTCTTGTGCGTTTTCCATCTTCACAAGTAGGAAAATCTACTTGAACTGCAAAGCAGTCATGTAGAAATGAAAACTATTAGTCGATGAGTGGTCTTGATTTAGTCTTGATTGGTCTTACTTTATCAGTAAGGCAGTCATAAATAACAAGTCTAAACGCTTCAGGAAAGTCTAGATTGGTAATGTCACTACTGACTCTATCTACTGTGGTAAGCAGGTTGGTAGCTCAAGAGCCCTGTCATCTGAAGCTAGGCTTTTCGAGGGATAGAAAGCAAATTCAGCGTCATAAGGAAATCCCTCAATCCGCCAAATTTAACGACCTCATCACTTTGGCAGTTTCGAACCAAAGAGTGACCTGTCTACAGTTCTTCAGGTTGTCTGGCTGGTCGGCTTCGTTAAATGGCGCCGTGCTTTACATTCGGGGGTCAAATGCTCTTTTTTCTAGTTTCAGAATCCCTTAAAATTCGCACTCAGGCTTTCAGGAAGTTTGTTGCCCCTTCCTGCAGGACTAAATCACGGGTTGTGTCCATTCAGGAAGGAGTATCCTTAGTGAACAGCAACAGTTTGTGCTCAACGGGTTCAACAACTTATTCAAAGACCATGAATCCCAAGCGGCTAGCGGTATATTCATAAACTTATGAGTAGTTGGTTTTTTGGTAGGACTTGAGAACGCCGACCAGTTAGGGGCCCCTGAACTTCACTGTTATCACTGGGCCGCACATTGGGCTCTGGTAACTGAGGGACTTTTGATTTGGCCTGCTGGAACCACACAGCACGGCGGAGCATACAGCGTCAACCCCTGTGCAATCAGGCGACGAGAGGGGGACCTCCATAAGAATATCTATGATAAATTTGAACAAGAATGGAGACGGTGGGCACCCTTGACGTACACCACTCGATGAGCACAGCTCTCTGGACGTCCCACCATAGGCTCTAACACACCTGCAAGTGTTCGACTAGAGAGCTTTCAATAAGATGATGTGCTTACTCGGCACGCCGTCCAGTGAGATACATTGCCATAAGACTTCTCGATCAACGGAGTCGAGTGCCATCCTCAAGTCGAGAAATACAGCTAGTGTCAAGCGTCGGTAAGCGTGCCTATGTCCTAGGACCTGGTGCAGTGTGAATATTTGGTCAATACACCGCCGGTCGAGTCTAAAGCCTGCCTGGTGTTCCCTGGTTTGCTGTTCCCGAGCTCCACTCAGGCGTCGAAGAATTATAGGACCTAGGATTTTGGACACTATGTTCGTCAGGCTGATTCCTCTGTGGTTATCACAAGAGGACTTCTCGCCTTTCTTGGAGACTGGGATAATCAGTGATTTAGACCAGTCAGAGGGGATTGTATTTCATTCCCGTGCACTGGTCAACACTTCCGTTAACCTGACTAAGAGCACCTTACCACCATTCTTGTATGCCTCTGGAGTTAGTCCGTCTGGTCCTGCCACCCTTCTTTGTTTCAGGTTTCTTACTGCTTTTTCGACTTCTCCTAGTGTTTGGGCGTCTATATCAATGTTTCATTCATGATCCAACTGGTCAGCGGGAGACGCAATGGTGGCTAGAGGCCATTTAAACCGTTCCCCGGAGTGTTCTGCCCATCGTTCTAGTAGTCTCCTCTGCGACTGTATCGCAGATCCGCCCTTCTGCGCTATAGCCTCACTAACCACGGTTCCCGTTTTCTACTAGTCTCCCTATAAGTCCAAACAACTGTCTACCGTTATCGATCGCCGCTGCCTTTTCCATCTCTTTAGTCTTCGCTGCCCACTACCGTTCGCGGTTGTTGCGTAGACTTTTTCTCAACCTACTTTTAAGTCACGCTCGTTCTTTATTGTGCTCATAGCCCGCAGGGATGCGTTCATGTGCATCTTTCGGTTTAGAAGAAGCCACTGATATCCACTGGCTCTTTTTATCTACTATTTCGGAGTCAGCTACGAGTCTTTTACAGCAGACTTCAGATGGCATCAAGCTTCTTCTAGATGAGTGACAATCCTCTGTTTCGATAACTGCCCAGCCACCTTGTCACTGAACACAGCTTTGGTGTTTTTGCCGTCCAGCAGCACTCGTGGTTGTTTTGTCGCCAAATTTTTCCTACATCCATTGAGACGCAGGCATACACATGCTCGGACCAACGCATGGTCGCTGTCAAAATACGTACTCCCGAAGCAGCGGTGGCCTTTCACCTATCCTCTCCAGCGATGATTAACGGCAGTGTGGTCTATCTGTGCCCGTCGCTGACCTGAGCTGGATGGACTGGCAATGTTCTTGTGTCTGAATTTTACGCTAGCTAAAAATGGGTGGTTATCTGAGCACCGTTGTAGTAGGCGATCATTGTTACCTGATCGTTCAGCCGGGACTCTAAAAGTGTCACCTAAGTGCCCTTCTGCCTCACTCAGTCCGC